CGCGCAAATGAGCGATGAAGCCACGCGAAGCGCGTGCAATTGAGGGGTGAAATAAAAACGTTTCTCGTTGTTCACGCCCCATTCTCCTTGCTGTTTTGACGCTCCTTCACTCTCCCCCCGCCTCCTCCTCCCCACCCAACAAACTGTCAGGTACGCAGGCAACTTGAGACATAAGTAAAAACTTTTGGTTTTTCTTTATAAAGTACCAAGAAAAACAAAATCTTTAAGTATCGTAGGGTAAATTTAGCCTACAAAGCTTGTTTTGCCGCAGTGTTTAATCCCAATTCGAAAACACTTAGACAATCACAACACTTTTCTCGCAGTAAAACTACTTTGTTAAGTGACCTCAGCTAAGACTGCAAACAGTAAAAACAACGAAAACGCCTAAAAAAACAACAGATTAAGAACATTTGGACTGCAATTTGGCCAAAATACGCAGCACAAAGACAAGAACCACAGGCCACTCTATTCTAACAAATAACCATTTAAACCGATTATCGGTTGAAAATAAGAGGTTCCTTTTATATGTGGGTTTTTACGGTAAGTTCCAGGTCAAACGTCCAACTTAAAGGGGCTGTGTCACGACACTCCCGTTTCTTTTTTGTTATATTTTGCCAATTACTCGCCCTCAATGGCTATGGAACTTAAAGTAGGCAAAGAAATGACATGTAAATGACAAAATCAGAGATTAGAAACACACAAATATGTCCCCTAAGCATTATTTTTGAAGCTGCAAACAGCAGAGATAAACTTTAAAAAACTGTTAGGCTGAACAGTTTTCAAAAACCCTAATTTCAATCTGTTTCAATCTTGTGAAAGGTTTGAACCCAGATGACTAACGCACAGGTTGTCGAAACGTCAGTCACTGTCAACAACAACATTCCTATTCAGGACTACGTTCACCCGAACGATCAAACTCAACCTACTTTTGTTTAAATCTTCTTCAGGTTTGCCCATCCGTGGCAGCTGTTGTATCTGTTGTGTTATTTTAACCTTCCTTTAATGTTTTAAGCGGTTATTTTTGTTTCTTTTAATTTAACAGGCATTTTCCAATAACCTGATTTCGCTGAATTTAGTGACACAGCTCTTTTAACATGTGTCGAACCTAACACTAATGCACGAAAACAATACATTTTGCGTAGTAGCATTACGTTCATGTCCAGTTCAACGTTAGACCCGAGTCTAAGTCTGACAAAACACACACTAAAGCAGACAATCTTTCACCCAAGAACGCATTCCTTTCTAGTATAACAGTGTAAAATCCATTTGCTGGACGTTTTACCTAGTTGTCGTCTTTTCTTTTCTTTTTATAATTTTTGGTAATTTATAGAACGCAGATTTGGAGCCGAGCAACACAAGTGAATGGAATAGACAACTGACTAATTACCAACGTGCTTGAGTCATATCACCTATTTTGTATATTTTTGGTTCGTTTGATGTTTGTCGGTTGAGTCCAACTAGCAGTAAAACTGATATAAATAAAACTTTATGTAGTTGTTTTCCGCAGCCGTTACCTGTGAAAATGTTAAATTGATTCGCCAACAGCATGACGAAAACGTATTATGGCAGAAAAGGTAATGTTCAATCCACACCAATCAGAAGACCATGTATTCTTGCGATTACCTGCTGTTGCTGCTTTCTTTTGTAGTTGACTTGCGCCCTGAACACGTTTGCTGGTACCCATAGGTAGGAATCGGAGTTTGCGATTGATCCGGATGTTGCTGATAGTACCCGTACTGTGGATATTGTTGGTATCCCTGTTGACTCGGAGTTTGGTTTGAAGGCGCCTGCTGCGCCGGCGTTTGTTGGAGTTGACTGCGCCGTTTTCTTTGCCGCCGTATGTGCTAGGCAAGGGCCACACCCCACTATGCAGGCCTAAGCTAAGTAGGCGTTGCCCTCGCTTGCATTTCATGCTGTTGTTGTTGGCTAGCGACCGCCGGAAGAGTTGAGTACACTTTAGGGTCATTGTATCCCTGAGGGAAGTGGTGTTGAAGTTGGGTTAACAGTCGAGAGGGGTCGACGTCGGTGTTCATCGAAGGGGTACCCTACGGTGTGTAGGGGGCATTGCTCTCTGACAGGGGTATCCCACGATGACGAGGAGTACCTGGAAATAATAATATAAAGCATATAGTCACTGCACGTTAAAAGATCTAGGTTTGTCTGTGGTAAAAGAGATAAGTTTGCAAAGATTCGACACCCTACACGTGAAGCAGTTATTCTGTCGTTACCTGCATGTCGACGTTTGAGACAAAATCCACCAAGAAATTGAGTAATTTTGAATTACACTGGACAATAACCTTGTACTAGAATATTCTAAACCATCAATTCTTTTCTACACTTTACAAGGGCTTAGTACATGTAATAAGTTATCTGTAATAACACCAAAGACATTTTCATACGGAAAACCAAGATAATATATATAAAATTTCCCAGGTATTGATTGTCTCTGTTGTCACTGTTGCCGCTCTTTTTTTTTAATAATTTATTTATTAAACATCATTTAACATAACATTACAATAAACTTTACAATAACAGGGCGGCAAAAAAAGGAAGCAAAGCAGTGAAAAAACCAAACAAACAAACAAACAAGCAAAAAAAAGCGAAACACGAAAGTCCGACAGATTAAAACTAGCAGAACAAATAGAAAAATAATAATACTGCGCGTTTGCTAAATTACTATAAATCAACACTAATCAGAACTGCACAGGGTGGTCCACTAATTTCTGTATTTGTCAAGATTTCCGTTTGTTACTGCAATTTCTTCTTCGCACTGGATTTTAATTTCCGGGAGAACAATGATTCTACCTGAGTAAACGTAATATCTAGCAATTAAGAGAGAATGGTTAAAAGCATGAAAGGTGCTTGATTCAGGTTTGTATCCATATAGAACTTCCCTTGGATTGGGATTTATGTTTTCAGAACGTTTACGATTCCACCAATCTATGACTTTTCCCTAAAAAACTTTGACGGCAGGACAGTCGTAAATTATATGGCTAATAGTTTCACAAGGAGCGTCACATTGTTCGTATTTTGGAGAAGATTTAACATTCATTTTCCAAAGGCGTTGGTTGGTTGGAAGAATATTGTGGATGAGTTTCAACTGAAAACTTATTGGCTTATTTTCAATGGTGATTTTGAATGGAAGCTCATATACGGCACTAGGAGTGTATGTTTGTTCTCTTAAATAGGATTCAGTTAATGAAGTGCAGAAAGATTTCTCAGCAAACACGCAGCTTACGGTGTTTATATATCTCAACTGGTGAGACATGCTAGAATTTGCACGTCCAAAGTTGACTTCATAAATAGTCTCAGACAGCAAGGCTTTGAAACCAATCTACTTCAGAAATCATTTAATAAATTCTTCAGTCGCCATGGTCTTATCGTCGAGAGGTATGGTGCAGCCCTGCGCGAGATAAGATTAGCAAGCCAGGCTTGAATTGCACCATCGTATCCTTACATTACTTATTTATTGCTTAGTGCTGTATTTCAGTTGTATCTCGGTGCGTGTGCGCGTACAATTTTATTTCGACCGCGCGCATTATTTGGTTATTTATTTAATTTCCGTGTACATTTAGTTCGTTTATTAACGTCTTAATTTTACTTTGTGTCATCTTCCTCACTTATATGTGTTGTCCGTGACTGTGCTCACATGGTGGGTGGCTCCTCCTAACATGTTCTGCAATTGGTATACAGGATTTAATGGAGCCGAAACCAATTGTGGAATTGCACGCATTTTCGGAATCCTACTGATGAACAGTTGCGACACGTAGATATAGATTTTTTTAGCAACTTATGTAATTTGCAGTCTGTCTACTTTGAATTAGTCGAGCATATTTTGCTGAAACATTTCCAACGGTTAGTTGTGTCACCATTGGTTCGTTGGTGTATTCCTGATTGCCATGTAGGATAGCATTTTTCCAATCTTTAGGAATCGCGGCCAGAAGGCCACCGTAATCAAGTAAGGTACCACGGGATACCTTGGAATGAAGGATCTGCCAGACAGTTACAATGCTCCTATAAAAGAGGGGGAGACCTTCTAGATCTAAAAATTACAAATCGTAATTACACTGGAACAAAAAGGAGCCTCCGAATTTTTCAAGATGAGAGTCAAGAAGCGCACACCAATGATGACCATCCGATGAACAATAGCGATTTACCCAGGCAGCTTTAAGAGATTTTTCTACGTCCGCGAAATTGACCATCTTAAGGCCACCTTTGGAGATTGGGAAAGTCAGTGTGTTTCTTTTGATTTTATCACGCTTAAAGTTCCATCTGAAAGGCAAAATGACCTTATTAACTTCTTTAGCAAACTCGGTCGGAGTATAAAATACAGAGCAATAATAAACAAGTTTAGACAGTGATAATGTTTTGACAATAGCAATTCGCCCCAAGATTGATAAGCGCCAACCTGAGCAAAGATTTAGCACCTTTTTCATTTTAACAAGCCGCTCATCATAGTTGATTTTCTCGCAAATCTGCGTTGCATCAGCAAAAACTGCCGCTGTTATCACTGTCATCGGTGATCTCACTGTCACCGTTGATCCTGTTGTTGACAACAGTGCTAACACAAAAAAAAGTGACAACAGCCACAACGGTGAAAACAGTGATGACAGAGATAACAGTGACAATAGCGACAACAGTGACCACAGTAACAACGGCGACAACAGTGACAACGGTGCCAAGAGTGACAACGGTGACAACAGCGACAATGGTGACAACAGTGACAACGGTGACAACAGCGACAAAACCACAACAGTGACAACAGTGAGAAAAGCAACGAAAGTGACAATGGCAACAACAGTGAAAACGGTGACAACAGTAACAACGGTGAAAACGGTGAAAACAGCGACAACGGTGAAAAGGGTGACAACGGTGACACCAGTGACAATGGCGACAACAGTAAAAACGGTGAAAAAATTGGTGACAAAAAGTGGCGACAAAACGGTGACAACAGTGACAATGGTGACAACAGCGACAACAGTGAAAACTGTGACAACGGCGACAACAGCAAAAACGGTAACAAAAGCGGTGACAAAAACGGTGACAACAGTGACAACGGTGACAACAGAGACAATGGTGAAAACATTGACAACAGTGAAAACGACAACAACGTTGACAACAGTGACAACAGTGACAACGGTGACAACAGTGACAACGCTGACAACAGTGATAACGAAGACAACAGTGACAACGGTGAAAACAGTGACAACGGCGACAAGAGTGACAACCGTGACAACGGTGACAATGGCAAAAACGGTGACAACGAGTGACAACGGTGACAACAGTGGTGACAACAGTAACAACAGTGACAACGGTGACAAAAGAAACAACAGTGACAACAGCGAAAACGGTGACTACAGTGACAACGGTGGCAACAGTGACAACCGGTGACAACCGTGACAACGGTGATCACGGTGACAACAGTGACATGGGTGACAAAGGTGACAATGGGTGACAACAGTGACAACAGTGACAACGATAATAACGGTCACAACAGTGACAACGGTGAAAACAGTGACAACGGTGACAACCATGACAACGGTGACAACAGTGACAACGGTGACAACAGTGACAATGATGACAACAGTGACAACAATGACAACAGTGACAACAATGATAACAATAACAACAGTGAAAACGGTGACAACGCTGAACACGCTGACAACGGTGACAACGGTGAAAACAGTGACAACAGTGACAACGGTCACAACGGTGACAAAGGTGACAATCATGACAACAGTGACAACGGTGACAACAGTGACAAAGGTGACAACGGTGAAAAAGGTGACAACAGTGACAATGGTGAAAATCATGACAACAGTGACAACGGTGAAAACGGTGACAACGATGACAACAGTGACAACGGTGACAACAGTGACAACGGTGACAACAATGACAAAGGTGACAACGGTGAAAAAGGTGACAACAGTGACAATGGTGACAACGGTGACAACGGTGACAACAGTGACATCGGTGACAACGGTGACAAAGGTTACAACAGTGACAACGGTGACAAGAGTGACAACAGTGACAAAGGTGACAACGGTGACAACAGTGACAACGGTGACAACAGTGACAACGGTGACAACAATGACAAAGGTGACAACCGTGAAAAAGGTGACAACAGTGACAATGGTGACAACAGTGACAACGGTGACAACGGTGACAACAGTGACATCGGTGACAACGGTGAAAAAGGTTACAACAGTGACAACGGTGACTACAGTGACAAAGGAGCCAACGGTGAAAACAGTGACAACGGTGACAACCATGACAACGGTGACAACAGTGACAACGGTGACAACAGTGACAACAGTGACAACGATGACAACAGTGACAACAATGACAACAGTGACAACAATGATAACAATAACAACAGTGACAACGGTGACAACGCTGAACACGCTGACAACGGTGACAACGGTGAAAACAGTGACAACAGTGACAACGGTCAAAACGGTGACAAAGGTGACAATCATAACAACAGTGACAACGGTGAAAACGGTGACAACAGTGACAACGGTGACAACAGTGACAAAGGTGACAACGGTGAAAAAGGTGATAACAGTGACAATGGTGACAACAGTGACAACAGTAACAACAGTGAAAACAGTGACAACGGTGACAACAGTGACAACGGAAGAAACAGTGACAACCGGTGAGAACCGTTACAATCGTGATGACGGTAAAAACAGTGACATGGGTGACAAAAGGTGACAATGGGTGACAACAGTGACAACAGTGACAACGATGATAACGGTCAAAACAGTGACAACGGTGACAACGGTGAAAACAGTGACAACGGTGACAACCATGACAACGGTGACAACAGTGACAACAGTGACAACGGTGACAACAGTGACAACGATGACAACAGTGACAACAATGAAAACAGTGACAACAGTGACAACAATGATAACAATAACAACAGTGACAACGGTGACAACGGTGAAAACGGTGACAACAGTGACAACGGTCACAACAGTGACAATAATGACAACAGTGACAACGGTGAAAACGGTGACAACGATGACAACAGTGACAACGGTGACAACAATGACAAAGGTGACAACGGTGAAAAAGGTGACAACAGTGACAATGGTGACAACAGTGACAACGGTGACAACGGTGAGAACAGTGACATCGGTGACAAAGGTTACAACAGTGACAACGGTGACAACAGTGACAACAGTGACAAAGGTGACAACGGTCAACACAGTGACAACGATGACAATCGAGACAACAGTGACAACCGGTGACAAAAGTGAAAACGGTGACAGCAGTGATATGGGTGACAACGGCGACAAGAGGGACAACAGCGACAACGGTGACAGCAGTGACAACGGTGAAAACGGTGACAACGGTGACAGCGATAACAACGGTGACAACGATGACAACGGTGACAACGGTAACAACAGTGACAACGGTGAGAACGGAAACAACAGTGACAACCATGAAAACGATCACAACGGTGACAACACTGAAAACGGTGACAACGGCGACAACAGTGACAACAGTGACAACGGTAACAACGGTAAAAAAGGTGACAACAGTGACAATGGTGACAACAGTGACAACGGTGACAACGGTGACAATGGTAAAAACAGTGACAACAGTGACAACGGTGACAACGGTGACAAAGGTGACAACAGTGACAACCGTGACAACGGTGACAAAGGTGACAACGGTCACAACGGTGACAACAGTGACAACGATGACAATGGTGACAACAAAGACAACGATGACAACCGTGACAACGGTGACAACACGGACAACCGGTGACAACGGTGACAACAGGAACAACCGGTAACAACGGTGACAACTGTGATATGGGTGAAAACGGCGCCAAAAGGGACAACGGCGACAACAGCGACAACGGTGACAACGAGTACAAGAGTGACAACTGTGACAACGATGAAAACGGTGACAATGGTGACAACAGTGACAACGATAACAACGATGACAACAGTGTCAACGATGACGACGGTGACAACGGTGATTATGGTGACAACAATGACAACGGTGACAAAGGTGACAAAGGAGAATACAGTGACAAAGGCGACAACAGTGACAACGATGACAACAGTGACAACGATGACAACTAGACAACGGTGACAACGGTGACAACTGCGACAACGATGACAACGGTGATAACAATGACAACAGTGATCACGGTGACAATGGTAACAACAGTAACAACAGTGACAATAGTGACAACAGTGACAACAGTGACACCAGTGACAACGCTAACAACGATCTTAACAGTGACACCGGTGATAAAAGTGACAACGGTGACAACAATGACAACGGTGACACAAGAGACAACAGTGACAACGGTGACAACGATGAAACCGGTGACAACGGTGACATCGATGACAACGGTGACAACTATGACGACAGTGACAACGGTGACAACAGGGACAACCGATGACAACTGTAATATGGGTCACAACGGCGCCAAGAGGGACAACGGCGACAACAGCCACAAAAGTGACAACGGTGACAACGATGACAACGGTGACAACGGTGACAACAGTGACAACGATGACAACGGTGACAACAGTGACAACGGTGACAACAGTGAACACAAACACAACGATGACAACAGTGACAAAGATGACAACAGTGACAACGGTGACAACCAGTGACAACAGTGACAACGCTGAAAACGGTCACAACGGTGACAACGATAGCAACGGTCACAACAGTGACAACGATGATTATGGTGACAACGGTGACAAAAGAGACAACAGTGACAAAGGTGACAACAGTGACAACGATGACAACAGTGACAACGATGACAACGGTGATAACAATGACAACAGTGATGACGGTGACAATCGTGAAAACGCTGACAACAGTGACAACAGTGACAACAGTGACAACGTTGACAACGGTGACAACGGTAACACTAATGACAACGGTGACAAAAGAGACAACAGTGAGAACGGTGACAACAGTGACAATGATGAAACCGCTGAAAACGGTGAAAACGATGACAACGGTGACAACTATGACGACGGTGACAACAGTTACAACGGTGACAACGGTGACAATGATGACAACAGCGACAACAGTAACAACGCTGAGAACGGTGACGACGATGACAACAGTGACAACAGCGACAACGCTGACAACGTGACAACGGCGACAATGGTCACAACCGTGACAACAATGACAACGGTGACAACAATGACAACACTAATCACGGTGACAATGGTGACAACAGTGACAACGGTGCAAAAGTGACAAGAGTGACAACGGTGACAACGATGACAACAGTGAAAACGATGACAACAGTGACAACAGTGACAACAATGACAACGGTGAAAACCGTGACAACGGTGACAACAGTGACAACGGTGACAACGATCACAAAAGTGACAACGATAACAACAGTGACAGCGGTGACAACAGAGACAACGGTGACAAAAGTGAAAACAGTAACAACGGTGAGAACAGTGACAACGGTGACAATGGTGACTACGATGACAACAGTGAGAACAGTGACAAGAGTGATTACGGTGACAACCGTAACAGCGGTAAGAACGGTGAGAATGGTGACAACAGTGACATTGGTGAAAATAGTGACAACAGTGACAATGGTGACAATGGTGATTACGGTGACAACAGTGACAACAGTGAAAACGATGACAACGGTGACAACAGTGACAACGGTGACAACAGTGACGACGCTGACAACAGTGATAACGAAGACAACAGTGACAACGGTGAAAACAGTGACAATGGCTACAACAGTGACAACCATGACAACGGTGACAATAGTAAAAACGGTGACAACGGTGCAACAGAGGTGACAACAGTGAAAACGGTGACAACAGTAACAACAGTGAAAACAGTGACAACGGTGACAAAAGTGACAACGGTGCAAACAGTGACAACCGGTGAGAACCGTTACAATCGTGATGACGGTAAAAACAGTGACATCGGTGACAAAAGGTGACAATAGGTGACAACAGTGACAACAGTGACAATGATGAAAACGGTTAGAACAGTGACAACGGTGACAATGGTGACAACAGTGACAACGGTGACAACGGTGACAACGGTGAAAACAGTGAAAACGGTGACAACCGTGACAACGGTGACAACAGTGACAACAATAACAACACTGACAACAATGACAACAGTGACAACGGTGACAACAATGATAACAATAACAACAGTGACAACGGTGACAACGGTGAAAACAGTGACAACGGTGACAACGGTGACAATGGTGAAAACAGTGACAACAGTGACAACGGTGACAACAGTGACAAAGGTGACAATGATGACAACAGTGACAACGGTGATAATGGTGACAACGATGACAACAGTGACAATGGTGAAAACAGTGACAACGGTGACAACAGTGACAACGGTGAGAACCGTGACAATGGTGACAAAAGTTAAAACAGTGACAACGGTGACAACAGTGGTGACAACAGTGACAACAGTGCCGACGGTGACAAAAGTAACAACGGTGACAACAGTGACAATGGTGACAAAGGTGACAACGGTCAGAACAGTGACAACGATGACAATCGTCACAACGGTGACAACAGGGACAACCGGTGACAAAAGTGAAAACGGTGACAACAATGATATGGGTGAAACCGGCGACAAGAGGGACAACAGCGACAAAGGCGACAGCAGTGACAACGGTGAAAACGGTGACCACGGTGACAACAGTGACAACGGTGACAACGATAACAACTGTGACAACGATGACAATGGTGACAACAGTGACAACGGTGACAACGGTAACAACAGTGACAACGGTAACAACAATAAAAACGATCACAACGGTGACAACACTGACAACGGTGACAACGATGACAAACGTGACAACAGTGCAACGGGGACAACGGTAAAAGAGGTGACAACAGTAACAATGGTGACAACAGTGACAACGGTGACAACGGTAAAAACAGTGACAACAGTGACAATGGTGACAACGGTGACAAAGGTGACAACAGTGACAACCGTGACAACGGTGACAACGGTGACAATGGTGACAACGGTGACAACAGTGACAACAGTGACAACGATGACAATGGTGACAACAAAGACAACCGTGACAACGGTGACAACTGTGATATGGGTGACAACGGCGCCTAGAGGGACAACGGCGACAACGGCGACAACAGCGACAACGACAACGGTGACAACGATGACAACGGTGACAACGGTGAGAACGGTGACAACGGTGACAACAGTGACAACAGTGACAACGATGACAACGGTGACAACAGTGAAAACAGTGACAACGGTGACAACGGTGACAACGATGACAACAGTGACAACGGTGACAACTGTGAAAACTGTGACAACGATGAAAACGGTGAGAACGGTGACAACAGTGACAACGATAACAACGGTGACAACAGTGACAACGATGACGACGGTGCCAACGGTGATTATGTTGACAACAGTGACAACGGTGACAAAAGAGAATACAGTGACAACGATGACAAAAGTGAAAACAGTGACACCGATTACAACGTGACAACAATAACAACGGTGACAACCGTGACAACGATGACAACGGTGATAACAATGACGACAGTGATCACGGTGACAATGGTGACAAGAATGACAACAGTGACAATAGTGACAACAGTGACAACGGTGACAACGATCTTAACAGTGACAACGGTGACAAAAGTGAAAACGGCGACAACGGTGACAACAATGACAACGGTGACAACAATGACAACGATGACAACGGTGACAACGGTGACTACTATGACTACGGTGACACCGGTGACAACAGGGACAACCGGTGACAATGGGGACAACTGTACTATGGGTGACAACGGCGCCAAGAGGGACAACGGCGACAACGGCGACAACAGCCACAACAGTGACAACGGTGACAACGGTGACAACGGTGAAAACGGTGACAACAGTGACAACGATGACAACGGTGACAACGATGACAACGGTAACAACGGTGACAACAGTGAAAACAGTGACAACGGTGACAACGGTGACAACGATGACAACAGTGACAACGGTGACAACGGTGACAACTGTGACAACGATGAAAACGGTGAAAACGGTAACAACAGTGACAACGGTGACAACGGTAACAACAGTGAGAACCATGAAAACGATGACAACGGTGACAACAATAACAACGGTGACAACCGTGACAACGATGACAATGGTGATAACAATGACAACAGTGATCACGGTGACAATGGTGACAACAGTGACAACAGTGACAATAGTGACAACAGTGACAACAGTGACAACGATCTTAACAGTGACAACGGTGACAAAAGTGAAAACGGTGACAACGGTGACAACAATGACAACGGTGACAACAAAGACAACGATGACAACTATGACGACGGTGACACCGGTGACAACAGGGACAAACGGTGACAATGGGGACAACTGTAATATGGGTGACAACGGCGCAAGGAGGGACAACGGCGACAACAGCCACAACAGTGACAACGGCGACAACGGTGACAACGGTGACAACGGTGACAACAGTGACAACGATGACAACGGTGACAACGGTGAAAACAGTGACAACGAGACAAAGGTGACAACGATGACAACAGTGACAACGGTGAGAACTGTGACAACTGTGACAACGATAAAAACGGTGACAACGGTAACAACAGTGACAACGGTGACAACGGTAACAACAGTGAGAACCATGAAAACGATGACAACGGTGACAACAGTGACAACGGTGACAACGGTAAAAAAGGTGACAACAGTGACAATGGTGACAACAGTGAGAACGGTGACAACAGTGACAATGGTGACAACAGTGACAACGGTGACAACAGTGACAACAGTGACAACAGTGACAACGATGACAACGGTGACAACAGTGAAAACAGTGAAAACGGTGACAACGGTGACAACGATGATAACAGTGACAACGGTGACAACGGTGACAACTGTGACAACGATGAAAACGGTGAGAACGGTGACAACGATATCAACGGTGACAACAGTGACAACGATGACGACGGTGCCAACGGTGATTATGTTGACAACAGTGACAACGGTGACAAAAGAGAATACAGTGACAAAGGTGACAACAGTGACAACGATGACAATAGCGAAAACAGTGACAACGATGACAACGTGACAACAATAACAACGGTGACAACCGTGACAACGATGCCAACGGTAATAACAATGACAACAGTGATGACGGTGAAAATGGTGACAACAGTGACAATAGTGACAACAGTGACAACAGTAACAACAGTGACAACGATTTTAACAGTGACAACGGTGACAAAAGTGAAAACGGTGACAACGGTGACAACAATGACAACGGTGACAACCGTAACAACAATGACAACGATGACAACGGTGACAACGGTGACAACTATGACGACAGTGACAACGGTGACAACAGGGACAACCGGTGACAATGGTGACAACTGTAATAAGGGTGACAACGGCGCCAAGAGGGACAACGATGAAAACGGTGACAACGGTAACAACAGTGACAACGGTGACAACGGTAACAACAGTGAGAACCATGAAAACGATGACAACGGTGACAACAGTGACAGCGGTGACAACGGTAAAAAAGGTGACAACAGTGACAATGGTGACAACAGTGAGAACGGTGACAACAGTGACAATGGTGACAACAGTGACAACGGTGACAACAGTGACAACGGTGACAACAGTGACAACAGTGACAACGATGACAACGGTGACAACAGTGAAAACAGTGAAAACGGTGACAACGGTGACACCGATGATAACAGTGACAACGGTGACAACGGTGACAACTGTGACAACGATGAAAACGGTGACAACGGTGACAACAGTGACAACGGTGACAACGGTAACAACAGTGAGAACCATGAAAACGATGACAACGGTGACAACAGTGACAACGGTGACAACGGTAAAAAAGGTGAAAACAGTGACAATGGTGACAACAGTGAGAACGGTGACAACAGTGACAATGGTGACAACAGTGACAACGGTGACAACAGTGACAACGGTGACAACAGTGACAACGATGACAACGGTGACAACAGTGAAAACAGTGAAAACGGTGACAACGGTGACACCGATGATAACAGTGACAACGGTGACAACGGTGACAACTGTGACAACGATGAAAACGGTGAGAACGGTGACAACAGTGACAACGATAACAACGGTGACAACAGTGACAACGATGACGACGGTGCCAACGGTGATTATGTTGACAACAGTGACAACGGTGACAAAAGAGAATACAGTGACAAAGGTGACAACAGTGACAACGATGACAATAGCGAAAACAGTGACAACGATGACAACGTGACAACAATAACAACGGTGACAACCGTGACAACGATGCCAACGGTAATAACAATGACAACAGTGATGACGGTGAAAATGGTGACAACAGTGACAATAGTGACAACAGTGACAACAGTAACAACAACACAACGATTTTAACAGTGACAACGGTGACAAAAGTGAAAACGGTGACAACGGTGACAACAATGACAACGGTGACAACTGTAACAACAATGACAACGATGACAACGGTGACAACGGTGACAACTATGACGACAGTGACAACGGTGACAACAGGGACAACCGGTGACAATGGTGACAACTGTAATAAGGGTGACAACGGCGCCAAGAGGGACAACGATGAAAACGGTGACAACGGTAACAACAGTGACAACGGTGACAACGGTAACAACAGTGAGAACCATGAAAACGATGACAACGGTGACAACAGTGACAGCGGTGACAACTGTAAAAAGGTGACAACAGTGACGATGGTGACAACAGTGACAACGGTGACAACAGTGACCACAGTGACAACGGTGACAACAGTGACAACGGTGACAACAGTGACAACAGTGACAACGGTGACAACGGTGACAACGGTGACAACAGTGAAAACAGTGAGAACGGTGACAACGGTGACAACGATGACAACAGTGACAACGGTGACAACAGTGACAACGGTGACAACGGTGACAACAGTGACAACGATGACAACGGTGACAACAGTGAAAACAGTGAAAACGGTGACAACGGTGACACCGATGATAACAGTGACAACGGTGACAACGGTGACAACTGTGACAACGATGAAAACGGTGACAACGGTAACAACAGTGACAACGGTGACAACGGTAACAACAGTGAGAACCATGAAAACGATGACAACGGTGACAACAGTGACAACGGTGACAACGGTAAAAAAGGTGACAACAGTGACAATGGTGACAACAGTGAGAACGGTGACAACAGTGACAATGGTGACAACAGTGACAACGGTGACAACAGTGACAACGGTGACAACAGTGACAACGATGACAACGGTGACAACAGTGAAAACAGTGAAAACGGTGACAACGGTGACAACGATGATAACAGTGACAACGGTGACAACGGTGACAACTGTGACAACGATGAAAACGGTGAGAACGGTGACAACAGTGACAACGATAACAACGGTGACAACAGTGACAACGATGACGACGGTGCCAACGGTGATTATGTTGACAACAGTGACAACGGTGACAAAAGAGAATACAGTGACAAAGGTGACAACAGTGACAACGATGACAATAGCGAAAACAGTGACAACGATGACAACGTGACAACAATAACAACGGTGACAACCGTGACAACGATGCCAACGGTAATAACAATGACAACAGTGATGACGGTGAAAATGGTGACAACAGTGACAATAGTGACAACAGTAACAACAGTGACAACGATTTTAACAGTGACAACGGTGACAAAAGTGAAAACGGTGACAACGGTGACAACAATGACAACGGTGACAACTGTAACAACAATGACAACGATGACAACGGTGACAACTATGACGACAGTGACAACGGTGACAACAGGGACAACCGGTGACAATGGTGACAACTGTAATAAGGGTGACAACGGCGCCAAGAGGGACAACGATGAAAACGGTGACAACGGTAACAACAGTGAGAACCATGAAAACGATGACAACGGTGACAACAGTGACAGCGGTGACAACTGTAAAAAAGGTGACAACAGTGACGATGGTGACAACAGTGACAACGGTGACAACAGTGACAACGGTGACAACAGTGACAACGGTGACAACAGTGACAACAGTGACAACGATGACAACGGTGACAACGGTGACAACGGTGACAACAGTGAAAACAGTGAGAACGGTGACAACGGTGACAACGATGACAACAGTGACAACGGTGACAACGGTGACAACGTGTGACAACTGTGACAACGATGAAAACGGTGAGAACGGTGACAACAGTGACAACGATGACAACGGTGCCAACGGTGATTATGTTGACAACAGTGACAACGGTGACAGAAGAGAATACATTGACAAAGGTGACAACAGTGACAACAATGACAAAAGTGAAAAAGGTGACAACGATGACAACGTGACAACAATAAAACGGTGACAACCGTGACAACGATGACAACGGTAATAACAATGACAACAGTGATCACGGTGACAATGGTGACAATGGTGACAACAGTGACAAAGGTAACAACGATTTTAACAGTGACAAAAATGACAACGGTGACAACGGTGACAACAATGACAACGATGACAACTATGACGACGGTGACAACAGGGACAACCGGTGACAATGGTGACAACTGTAATATGGGTGACAATGGCGCCAAGAGGGACAACGGCGACAACAGCCACAACAGTGACAACGGTGACAACGGTGAGAACAGTGACAACGATGACAACGATGACAACGGTGACAACGGTGACAACAGTGGAAACAGTGACAACGGTGACAACGGTGACAACGGTGACAACGATGACAACAGTGACAACGGTGACAACTGTGACAACCATGAAAACGGTGACAACGGTAACAACAGAGACAACGGTGACAACGGTAACAACAGTGAGAACCATGAAAACGATGACAACGGTGACAACAGTGACAACGGTGACAACGGTAAAAAAGGTGACTACAGTGACAATGGTGACAACAGTGACAACGGTGACAACGGTGATTATGTTGACAACAGTGACAACGGTGACAGAAGAGAATACATTGACAAAGGTGACAACAGTGACAACAATGACAAAAGTGAAAAAGGTGACAACGATGACAACGTGACTACAATAAAACGGTGACAACCGTGACAACGATGACAACGGTAATAACAATGACAACAGTGATCACGGTGACAATGGTGACAATGGTGACAACAGTGACAAAGGTAACAACGATTTTAACAGTGACAACAATGACAACGGTGACAACGGTGACAACAATGACAACGATGACAACGGTGACAACTATGACAACGGTGACAACGGTGACAACAGGGACAACCGGTGACAATGGTGACAACTGTAATATGGGTGACAATGGCGCCAAGAGAGACAACGGCGACAACAGCCACAACAGTGACAACGGTGACAACGGTGACAACGGTGAGAACAGTGACAACGATGACAACGATGACAACGGTGACAACGGTGACAACAGTGAAAACAGTGACAACGGTGACAACGGTGACAACGATGACAACAGTGACAACGGTGACAACTGTGACAACCATGAAAACGGTGACAACGGTAACAACAGAGACAACGGTGACAACGGTAACAACAGTGAGAACCATGAAAACGATGACAACGGTGACAACAGTGACAACGGTGACAACGGTAAAAAAGGTGACTACAGTGACAATGGTGACAACAGTGACAACGGTGACAACAGTGAGAACGGTGACAACAGTGACAACGGTGACACCGGTGACAACGATGACAACAGTGACAACGGTGACAACTGTGACAACGATAAAAACGGTGAGAACGGTGACAACAGTGACAAAGATAACAAAGGTGACAACAGTGACAACGATGACAAAAGTGACAACAGTGACAACGATGACAACGTGACAACAATAACAACGGTAACAACCGTGACAACGATGACAACGGTAATAACAATGACAAAAGTGATCACGGTGACAATGGTGACAACAGTGACAACAGTGACAATAGTGACAACAGTGACAACGGTGACAACGCTGACAATTGTGACAACGATGAAAACGGTGACAACGGTAACAACAGTGACAACGGTGACAAGGGTAACAACAGTGAGAACCATGAAAACGATGACAACGGTGACAACAGTGACAAAGGTGACAACAGTGACAATGGTGACAACAGTGACAACAGTGACAACGGTGACAACAGTGACAATGGTGACAACAGTGACAACGGTGACAACAGTGACAACGGTGACAACAGTGACAACAGTGACAACGATGACAACGGTGACAACGGTGACAACAGTGAAAACAGTGACAACGGTGACAACGGTGACAACGATGACAACAGTGACAACGGTGACAACGGTGACAACTGTGACAACTGTGATAATGATGAAAACGGTGAGAACGGTGACAACAGTGACAAAGATAACAAAGGTGACAACAGTGACAACGATGACAAAAGTGACAACAGTGACAATGATGACAACGTGACAACAATAACAACGGTGACAACCGTGACAACGGTAATAACAATGACAACAGTGATCACGGTGACAATGGTGACAACAGTGACAACAGTGACAATAGTGACAACAGTGACAACGGTGACAACGATCTTAACAGTGACAACGGTGACAAAAGTGAAAACGGTGACAACGGTGACAACAATGACAACGGTGACAACGGTGACAACAATGAAAACGATGACAACGGTGACAACGGTGACAACTATGACGACGGTGACAACGGTGACAACAGGGACAACCGGTGACAATGGGGACAACTGTAATATGGGTGACAACGGCGCCAAGAGGGACACCGGCGACAACAGCCACAACAGTGACAACGGTGACAACGGTGACAACAATGACAACGGTGACAACGGTGACAACAATGACAACGATGACAACGGTGACAACGGTGACAACTATGACGACGGTGACAACGGTGACAACAGGGACAACCGGTGACAATGGGGACAACTGTAATATGGGTGACAACGGCGCCAAGAGGGACACCGGCGACAACAGCCACAACAGTGACAACGGTGACAACAATGACAACGGTGACAACAATGACAACGATGACAACGGTGACAACGGTGACAACTATGACGACGGTGACAACGGTGACAACAGGGACAACCGGTGACAATGGGGACAACTGTAATATGGGTGACAACGGCGCCAAGAGGGACACCGGCGACAACAGCCACAACAGTGACAACGGTGACAACGGTGACAACGGTGAGAACGGTGAGAACGGTGACAACGATGACAACGGTGACAACGGTGACAACAGTGAAAACAGCGACAACGGTGACAACGGTGACAACGATGACAACAGTGACAAAGGTGACAACGGTGACAACTGTGACAACAATAAAAACGGTGACAACGGTAACAACAGTGACAACGGTGACAACGGTAACAACAGTGAGAACCATGAAAACGATGACAACGGTGACAACAGTGACAACGGTAACAACGGTAAAAAAGGTGACAACAGTGACAATGGTGACAACGGTGACAACAGTGACAATGGCGACAACAGTGACAACGGTGACAACAGTGACAACGGTGACAACAGTGACAACAGTGACAACGATGACAACGGTGACAACGGTGACAACAGTGAAAACAGTGACAACTGTGACAATGGTGACAACGATGACAACAGTGACAACGGTGACAACAGTGACAACGGTAACAACGGTAAAAAAGATGACAACAGTGACAATGGTGACAACAGTGAATACGGTGACAACGGTGACAACGGTAAAAACAGTGACAACAGTGACAATGGTGACAATGGTGACAACAGTGACAACCGTGACAACGGTGACAAAGGTGAAAACGGTCACAACGGTGACAACAGTGACAACGATGACAATGGTGACAGCAAAGACAACGATGACAACCGGTGACAACAGGAACAACCGGTAACAATGGTGACAACTGTGATATGGGTGAAAATGGCGCGAAGATGGACAACGGCGACAACAGCGACAAGAGTGACAACTGTGACAACGATGAAAACGGTGACAATGGTGACAACGGTGACAACGATAACAACAATGACAACAGTGACAACGATGACGACGGTGACAACGGTGATTATGGTGACAACAGTGACAACGGTGACAACGGTGATAAAGGACAATACAGTGACAAAGGCGACAACAGTGACAACGATGACAACAGGGACAACAGTGAGAACGATGACAACTAGACAACGGTGACAACGGTGACAACTGTGACAACGATGACAACAATGATAACAATGACAACAGTGATCACGGTGACAATGGTAACAACAGTGACAACAGTGACAATAGTGACAACAGTGAAACCAGTGACAACGCTGACAACGATCTTAACAGTGACAACGGTGATAAAGGTGACAACGGTGACAACGGTGACAACAATGACAACGGTGACAAAAGAGACAACAGTGACAACGGTGACAACGATGAAACCGGTCACAACGGTGATATCGATGACAACGGTGACAACTATGACGACAGTGAAAAAAGGGACAACCGGTGACAACTGTAATATGGGTGACAACGGCGCCAAGAGGGACAACGGCGACAACGGCGACAACAGCCACAACAGTGACAACGGTGACAACGATGACAACGGTGACAACAGTGACAACGATGACAACGGTGACAACAGTGACAACGGTGACAACAGTAACAACAGTGAAAAGAGTGAGAACGGTGACAAAAGTGACAACGGTGCAAACAGTGACAACCGGTGAGAACCGTTACAATCGTGATGACGGTAAAAACAGTGACATCGGTGACAAAAGGTGACAATAGGTGACAACAGTGACAACAGTGACAATGATGAAAACGGTTAGAACAGTGACAACGGTGACAATGGTGACAACAGTGACAACGGTGACAACGGTGACAATGGTGAAAACAGTGACAACGGTGACAACAGTGACAACGATGACAACGGTGATAACAATGACAACAGTGATGACGGTGACAATCGTGAAAACGCTGACAACAGTGACAACAGTGACAACAGTGACAACAGTGACAACGTTGACAACGGTGACAACGGTGACAACGGTAACACTAATGACAACGGTGACAAAAGAGACAACAGTGAGAACGGTGACAACAGTGACAATGATGAAACCACTGAAAACGGTGAAAACGATGACAACGGTGACAACGGTGACAACTATGACGACGGTGACAACAGTTACAACGGTGACAACGGTGACAATGATGACAACAGCGACAACAGTAACAACGCTGAGAACGGTGACGACGATGACAACAGTGACAACAGCGACAACGCTGACAACGTGACAACGGCGACAATGGTCACAACCGTGACAACGATGACAACGGTGACAACAATGACAACACTAATCACGGTGACAATGGTGACAACAGTGACAACGGTGACAAAAGTGACAAGAGTGACAACGGTGACAACGATGACAACAGTGAAAACGATGACAACAGTGACAACAGTGACAACAATGACAACGGTGAAAACCGTGAGAACGGTGACAACGGTGACAACAGTGACAACGGTGACAAGGATCACAAAAGTGACAACGATAACAACAGTGACAGCGGTGACAACAGAGACAACGGTGACAAAAGTGAAAACAGTAACAACGGTGAGAACAGTGACAACGGTGACAATGGTGACTACGATGACAACAGTGAGAACAGTGACAAGAGTGATTACGGTGACAACCGTAACAGCGGTAAGAACGGTGAGAATGGTGACAACAGTGACATTGGTGAAAATAGTGACAACAGTGACAATGGTGACAATGGTGATTACGGTGACAACAGTGACAACAGTGAAAACGATGACAACGGTGACAACAGTGACAACGGTGACAACAGTGACGACGCTGACAACAGTGATAATGAAGACAACAGTGACAACGGTGAAAACAGTGACAATGGCTACAACAGTGACAACCATGACAACGGTGACAATAGTAAAAACGGTGACAACGGTGCAACAGAGGTGACAACAGTGACAACGGTGACAACAGTAACAACAGTGAAAACAGTGACAACGGTGACAAAAGTGACAACGGTGCAAACAGTGACAACCGGTGAGAACCGTTACAATCGTGATGACGGTAAAAACAGTGACATCGGTGACAAAAGGTGACAATAGGTGACAACAGTGACAACGGTGACAACGGTGACAACGGTGAAAACAGTGAAAACGGTGACAACCGTGACAACAATAACAACAGTGACAACAATGACAACAGTGACAACGGTGATAACAATGATAACAATAACAACAGTGACAACGGTGACAACGGTGAAAACAGTGACAATGGTGACAACGGTGACAATGGTGAAAACAGTGACAACAGTGACAACGGTGACAACAGTGACAAAGGTGACAATGATGACAACAGTGACAACGGTGATAATGGTGACAACGATGACAACAGTGACAATGGTGACAACAGTGACAACGGTGACAACAGTGACAACGGTGAGAACCGTGACAATGGTAACAACAGTGACAACGGTGACAAGGGTAACAACAGTGAGAACCATGAAAACGATGACAACGGTGACAACAGTGACAACGGTGACAACAGTGACAATGGTGACAACAGTGACAACAGTGCCAACGATGACAACGGTGACAACGGTGACAACAGTGAAAACAGTGACAACGGTGACAACGGTGACAACGATGACAACGGTGACAACGGTGACAACTGTGATAATGATGAAAACGGTGAGAACGGTGACAACAGTGACAAAGATAACAAAGGTGACAACAGTGACAACGATGACAAAAGTGACAACAGTGACAATGATGACAACGTGACAACAATAACGACGGTGACAACCGTGACAACGGTAATAACAATGACAACAGTGATCACGGTGACAATGGTGACAACAGTGACAACAGTGACAATAGTGACAACAGTGACAACGGTGACAACGATCTTAACAGTGACAACGGTGACAAAAGTGAAAACGGTGACAACGGTGACAACAATGACAACGGTGACAACGGTGACAACAATGAAAACGATGACAACGGTGACAACGGTGACAACTATGACGACGGTGACAACGGTGACAACAGGGACAACCGGTGACAATGGGGACAACTGTAATATGGGTGACAACGGCGCCAAGAGGGACACCGGCGACAACAGCCAAAACAGTGACAACGGTGACAACGGTGACAACAATGACAACGGTGACAACGGTGACAACGGTGACAACTAGGACGACGGTGACAACGGTGACAACAGGGACAACCGGTGACAATGGGGACAACTGTAATATGGGTGACAAGGGCGCCAAGAGGGACACCGGCGACAACAGCCACAACAGTGACAACGGTGACAACGGTGACAACGGTGAGAACGGTGAGAACGGTGAGAACGGTGAGAACGATGACAACGGTGACAACGGTGACAACAGTGAAAACAGCGACAACGGTGACAACGGTGACAACGATGACAACAGTGACAAAGGTGACAACGGTGACAACTGTGACAACAATAAAAACGGTGACAACGGTAACAACAGTGACAACGGTGACAACGGTAACAACAGTGAGAACCATGAAAACGATGACAACGGCGACAACAGTGACAACGGTAACAACGGTAAAAAAGGTGACAACAGTGACAATGGTGACAACAGTGACAACGGTGACAACAGTGACAATGGTGACAACGGTAAAAAAGGTGACAACAGTGACAATGGTGACAACAGTAACAACAGTGACAACGGTGACGACGATGACAACAGTGACTATGGTGACAACGTGATCAAAGTGACAGCGGTGACAACAGTGACAACGGTGAGAACGGTGACCATGGTGACAACAGCGACAACAGTGACAACTGTGACAACTGTGACAACCGGTGACAACCATGACAACTGTGACAACAGTGACAATGGCGACAACGATGACAACAGTGACAATGGTGACAACGGCGAGAACAGTGACAACAGTGACAACGGTGAGAACAGTGACAACGATGACAACGGTGACAACGGTGACAACGATTACAACGGTGACAATGGTGACAACAGTGACAACAGTGGCAACGGTGACAACAGTTACAACGGTGACCATGGTGACAACAGTGGCAACGGTGACAATAGTGACAACAGTGACATCGGTGACAACAGTGACAGCGGTGGTGTATATGCACATCACATCACCAGTTTACTATTACGCCCTTAATTTTGAGCTGTTGGAGTATAATTACGACAGGTGGCTATTCAAGACCATCACAGGCGCCATCAACTCTTCCTGGGCCTCCGGCTGCTCACCAAATACAGGTCTCTAAGACAAATCCTTTTTAGTAAAGTTCTAGCAGTTTAAAGCAAATTTCTTAGATGTTCCTGTTTATTATTTGCTTGAAAAATGTTTATATACGTGTTCACAACTATTGTTGCAATAAACCAGTCATACATATCTAAAGACCCGTGTTTTAAAGCTTAAAAATAACGTTATTTGTTTATTGTACTCTGTATTTGCCATAGGTTACTTCTTTTTTTTCCTTTGCTTTTTCATTCCTTTTCCCTCCAACTACCTCCCATCTGCCTTTGTCTCCTTTGGTAGTGAATTAAGACAGGCTGTAGTGGACCTTGCAAATATTAGAGAGCCGGTATTACTTCAATCAATAACCCCTCAGTGACAATGAAAGAAAGTAAAGAGCATTGTAGAAGACAAGGCATAGAGGGATATCATATTAGAGAAAGTCAAAGATGCCGCATCGAAAGCTGAGGTTTCCAAGAAGCTGCGCACGGTACTGGAGGAAAGAAGTGAGGCCAAAATTAGTGACCTAGTAGGTAGGGCACTTCATATCCTGCAGTTTGATGGCCAAACAGCAGCTTTCCAACAACATTGGGAATCAAAATGGGTGTCAAAGGTGAAGGAACGTGCCTTTTCTCAGAGATTGCCATTTGGAATAAACACAAACATGTATATGCAAGCACAAGGTCAGTACATTGTTTTGTTCAATCGGAAAAAAATAAATAATTTAATGATAATTATTATTGTCTTTTGTTCTAGTGTAATTGTAGACCAAATTCTTTGAGACAGTTGTGAATTCTATGGGGTTGAAAATTGTCTGTGTACAAGAGCTTTGATGTAGTATGATGGTCTAAAAAGCATGGAAACCGCTTGTGAACTAAG